GATAGATAGATAGATAGATAGATAGATAGATAGATAGATAGATAGATAGATAGATAGATAGATAGATAGAATCTCTCTCTCACACACACACACACACACACACAAACACACACACAGACACAAACACACACACGCACACAATATTCTCTTTGTATTAGAATCTGGATAGTTTTGGGGGAAGATTCGAAATCACTTCTACAGCGAAGCCAAAGTACTTGGTACTCTCCAAATTACTATCACCATAGCGCACCCACCCCAAGACAAATGATACAAAGCTGCATTCCATTGCAGCCTGTCCTCCCTTAGCCCGAGAACTTCCTCTCACCAGGGCCTTTCCCTTTCCCTTCTCCACGCTGCTGTCGAGAGCGCGGCTTCGTCTTCACCTTCGGCATGGCTCGCCCGGGCCTCCAGCACGCCAAGTTCGGAAGAGAAGCAAGGCGAAAGAATGGGGGGGAGGGGTGTCGCACGCGCAAGGGCTGCCGGGACGAGTAGTTCCGCCGTTCCTTCGGAATCGCGAGGCGAAAGTGCTGGAGGACTCAATTTTCCGCAAAGCCTCTGGAGGGACGAGTCAGAGTAGCGAGTTTTTCGTGAAGTGTTTTATTACTTGGCGAAGGCGAGTTGAGCAACGCCGTTGGTGGCGGCGACCCTTTTAAAACTAAGTCATTCTTGGGAAAAGAAGAATCGGGAGGGGAGGAGACTGACAGGCGTCCTTCTCCCACATTTCCAACAACAAAAAGTTCCCGCCCACTTTTCCTTTTCAATGCACCCGTTTTTATTATATTGGGGAACTTTTCTTCTCTCCCCTCCTCAGGCGCCAGAATCATCCCGAAAAAAAGAGAAGCGGGCGGGCCTGCAGGACGAGAAGCGGGTGGAGGGCTGGGGGTGAGAGGGCCATTGGGGGAAAGAGAAGCGCCGAGCGATGACGTACGTAGCGCGCCGAACTGCCGCGGCACGGTGGTGGGTGAGCAGAGGTTGGTGGCGCGAGCTTCGGAACCAGCGGGAAGGCGCGTGCGCCAGACTCTGGACGCCTGTGAAGGAGCTGCGGCTTCACCGGTAAGTGAGGGAGGGGAGAGAGGACGAGAACACGCCTGGCTGTATCCGCCCCGTCCGTCCTTCCCGTCCGGTCAGGATGCGAGCCAGCGAAGGCCCCGCACCCTGAGGCGGCGGCCGGCCTGTCGGGACTGAAATAAGCAATCCCCCTCGGTCGATGGTTGTGAACAGGCTCGAATCCTGAAATGTGGATGGTCTTGGGCGCTCCTGAGGAGAGATTTTATTTTCTCACTAGGAGGTGCTTTGCCTAAACGAGGCTCTTTTTCTTTCTCATGGTCCGAAGCCTTGGCTAAGGACCATGTAACTGTCCTATGACTGGACGTCTCGCCAAAGTGTAGCACCCACAAAGGTCCCGTTTCTCCTAGAATACGAAGAAAAGTTGTCGCTGGTAGAACTCTCGATAACCGATGCCCGAAGAAATTGTTAACTCGAGGTTGCATCTGATGTATTAAAAGTACAAACAAACAAACAAACAAACAAACAAATAAA